CATCACTGTGGGTTTATAAACTGGGATAACTGCATCGAATGCATATATTTGTTTTTGTTTTGTTTTGGTAGCAGGGATTGAACTTACAACCTCACACTTGCCAGGCAGGCGCTTATGCCACTGAGCTAAATCGCCAGCCTCTTATAAATATGTTTATTAAATTTCACTTTAATAAAATACTTGCAACTTCATAAAAAATTTTAATTTTCAAAATTACATCTAGATATTAAGTCATGATTAGATGGCTTCTCACACTCAGGTTTTAAGGAATTCATCTGTATATTCTTCTAGTATTTTCATGTTTCATTTTTACATTTAGATTTCTGATCCATTTGGAGTTTTTTCTGTCTGTGGTCCATTTTTATTGTTATTTTTCAAATGGTTGTCTGGTTCTCTGAACTCCTTTCTTCCTTGTTTTTTTAATTTTTATTTTTAAACAGGATCTTGCCTGTAATCCTCATACTCAGGAGATTGAGGCAGGAGGATCACTATGAGTTTGAGGCCAGCCTGAACTACCTAGCTAGACTCTGTCTTACAAAACCAAAAATCGAAAACCAAAAACAAAAAAAACAACTGTAATTCAAAATAGTGTAGTTAGAAACCACAATCCAGGGCTGGAGATTTAGCTCAGCGGCATAAGCGCCTGCCTTGCAAGCAGGCAGTCGTGAGTTCCATCCCCAGTACCGATAAAAAGGAAAAAAACAAACAAACAAAAAATATCTTCTTGGGGGCTGGGGATTTAGCTCAGCGGCATAAGCACCTGCCTTGTAAGCAGGCAGTCGTGAGTTCGATCCCTAGTACTGATAAAAAGGAAAAAGACAAAAAAAAAAAAAGATGTTTTAATTGTCAGAAGATTTTTTTTATTATATATATTTTTTAACACAACTAGCTTAATGGATGGCTGTACCAAAAGAAAACCTAAAAGACTGAGCAAATGTATACAGAACCCACAGTTCCAAAATAACTGCCAAAGTTAACTGATTGTTAACTTTAATCATGATTATTGTGAGTTTTATGAAAGTTGGGGAAAGTGGAAAACATTAAGAAATGATTATATTAGAATTATTTTTTATCTTTACTTATTCATTTATTTATTTTGTTTTTTTTTTTTTTTGAGAGAAGTTCTCATATTGTAGTCCAAGCTGGTCTTGAACTCACTTTGTAGCCCAGACTGGTCTCAAACTCATGTCAATCCAACTGCCTCAACCTCCTGGGTACTGGAATTACAGGTGTCTACCACCACACCCAAGTTTACTGTTTGATTTTTAATTTATTTATTCTGTGGTGCCGGCGATCAAACTCAAGGGCCTCAAGCATGCCAGGCATGCACCACAACTCCAGCCTTGGAGGTGGCAAGTTTTTTTCCAATACTGGAGCTTGAACCAAGGGCCCTTGAATTTATCTATATTCCCCAGCCCTATTTATTTATTCATTTTGAGTTTTTTGAGACAGAGTCTCACTATGTAGTTCAGGCTGGCATACAATTTATAGTAATCCTCCTGGCTCAGACTCCCAACTGTGAGATTACATGTGTCACCATGCCCCGAAAGAATTACTTTTATAAACACAAACTTTTAGTTTTTTCACTTTACTAGGTCTAGTCAGTGTCAGGCTTCCTTAATATTATAGTCAATTTAATCATCATTATTAAATACAAGTTGACACCCATTAGATTTATTTATTTATTTATTTTTGTCTTTTTCCTTTTTATCGGTACCGGGGATCAAACTCATGACTGCCTGCTTGCAAGGCAGGCGCTTATGCCGCTGAGCTAAATCCCCAGCCCCTACCCATTAGATTTAAAGACTACATATACCCCTCAAATTGAAGTTACTTTGCCCATCTTTCCAACAGTTTTCTCATTTAATTCATTTTATGTGAAATTTTTAAAATTAGAAATTAAATCTATCATTACAAAATAAAGAATTTAGTTTCATAGGCCAGGCCCGGTAGTTCATGGCTGCAGTCCCAGCACTTGGGAGGCCGAAGCAGAACTGTCATAAGTTTGACCAGCCTAGGCCACATAGTGAGTTAATAACCAGCCTAAATATACAGCAAGATGCTGCTCGAAAAGAAATGAACAACAAGCCAGGAAAATAAAAGAAAGTTTCCAAAACAAAACAGTAATGAACATATTTCTGTCACAATCAGAATGGAGCTAACATTACCTAAATGAGATGAACTCCTGAGGCTGCCAGGGGTTTGGACTATGGTCTTGGTTATGGACTCCTGTCCTAAACACCTCTAATTATAGTAGCTACTCCAGTGCATCAAGATACAACAGGCATGTTTGCTCATCATTGCACTGTGAAACTCCTGAGGACAGGATTAAGTTTATTTGTACTTGTTTTCTCAGTGCCTATGAAAATGTGCTTCTAGAGATTCTGCTGATGTAGTATACTCAGGCAGGGGCTGATGTGATGAAAAATTCAGATCCAGGGCAGTCTGCTGGTTTGCAGGAGCACTTGGGCAGCCGTCCACTATTGAGTTTCATGTTTCAAAGCAACTTATGCTGATTGAGATACAATTAAGATATCATTTAAAGAGTACAATTCTTTGGTCTTTTGTTGTTTTTTGTTTTTTTGAGACAGTTATGTAGTACAGACTAGCCTTGAACTTGTGGGGATTCTTCTACCTCAGCCTCTTGAGTACAGGGAGTGTGTGCCACCATGCCTGGCTGTATTTATATATTTTATTTTTAAATTTTTATTTATTTTTGTAGTAATGGGAATCTAACAGGGTCTTCACAGTGAATTAAATCCCAGTCCTTTTAAAATTAAAAACTGTTTTGAGATAAGGTTTTGTTAAATAGCTAAGTTTCCCAGGCTGGGGTTGAATTTTGTGATCCTTCTGCCTCAGGCTCCTGGAGTGCTGGGATTACAGGAACTGGCTACCATGACTTGACTGGAGATTTGTTTTTTAACGAGAAATATGGAAAGAAAGAAATATGGAAAGAAAAGGGCAGGGATCTGTTTTCCACACTGAAAGAAAAATGTCTCTAGTGCTGATAAAAATTCCTAAGTGGAAAAGACCAGAGAAAAGGGGAACGCTTTATTGCTGAAATTGCCCACCGTCCCCTGCCCACCGTCCCCTGTCCCCCCCGCAGGAATTGAACTCAGTACCTTGCACTGGCCGGGCAGCACTGTGCCACTGGGCTACATCCCCAGCTCATTTCTTGCTACGCATAACTTCAAAGAATTTGGGAATTTTTCTTCATAAACTTTTAAAATTTTAAATAAAAATACTGACAAAAATCTTCTTTTCTTTACGAATTTCGTATCTAGCCGTTGCTGTAAACCATATTGTATTAGAAAAAGTAACAGGAAAAAAGCAATTCGAGGTTTCAATCAGTAGAAAGAAAAAAAATTGGCAACTTTATATTTGAATAGAGCAAGATGACCTCATCATCAATAGTCTTTAATGTACAGTTTGTCCTACTCTTTTGTCCAAGATTCTGGATGTGATATATAGTAGGGTACCTCCTATTTTTAAAAATGTCAAGAAATCCTGTGGCAATTCCTAAAGAAGATTAAACTGATTCTGTAAGAACAGTCCTGAGATTGAATATAGGGTTCATATTTAACTTTTCTACTTTCTGAATCAGCTTTAATGGCAATGTCATTTGATTGCAGAAAAAAAAAAAAAGATTTGAAATGAAGCTTATAATTCATTGCACTCTTTCGGTCCACGGCAAAATCCTGGGAGTCACTGTGATTATTAAGCATAATGAACATTGGACCCATGAGGTTTAAGATCCGAATTTTGGTTTTGTCACTAGTTTCAGAGCCTTGGGAAAGTTGTTGAACCACTTTTGAGTTTTCTGCCTGTAAACCGATCAGTAAAGATGTGAGAGAGGGCTTGTTTCACCAAAGTGAACACAATAAACAGTAAATACACATTTACAGATGGACGTAGTGATGGCAAACGCCTGTAATCCCATACTCTCCTAGGCTGACTCAGGAGGATCCCATGTTCGGTCCCAACCTGAGACATTTAGTGAGATCCTATCTCAAAACAAGCAAACAACAAAAGCCAAAAAACTGGGAACGTATCTCCGTGCAAAGGTCCTGGGTTCAATCGCCAGTACTAGATTAACCGCACCCCCGCCCCTGAGCTCACGGCTCCTCTCTTCGGACTCCGAGAGTCTGACTGTGAGCTGTGGGGCGGTCCCCCGCTGACCTACGAAGGTCGGTCCTCCCCGGTTCTGAGGTGCTTAGCTTCGGACCGGGCGCCCCGGCACAGAGCTGTCGCGAGGCTCTGAGGAGATGTGGGGTCCCCGAAGCCTGACAGGGCCTCGCCATTCGCGGCTTTGTGTCTCAGCTGCACCGTGTGGGAACTCGTTTCGTGACAAAGCATTTCAGATCTCCTTTCATAAAACCTAGTTCTGGGGTTTCAACCCGGCCTCTGTGACCCAGCTGACTGCTGAACTGGAACCGGCGGGCGCCCACCTGCAGTCTCCTACACCCGGCCTCTCTTTTCGCTGCTGGAGGGCGGCTGCGGCGCTGACTGGAACTACCAAGACCAGAATGCCCAAGCGCACGCGCACTGCCATTGTGATGCTCCTTTCCCGGTAACTCGCACTCTCAGGCAAACCTGAAGATAGCGGCAATTCTCCGGTTGGGGCGGAGACGTTCTATCGAATCTCCGCCCCCTTCGTGATAGACAATGGAACTAACCAACCGACACTGCGATCCCAAACCCTGCTTTCCAATCAGCATGCGCGGTGGAGAGGTGGGCGGGCGCACCAGCAGGGCAGGTGAGCTAGGTTGTGCCGTGTTGCGAAGGGGGAGAATAACGTCGGATCGGGTCAGCGGGCGCTGCAGTAGTCGCCGCAGCGGCTATGGGAGCGGCGGAGGCGCAGTGGCGGTGGCGGCAAGAGGAGGAGCAGGGGCTGGCGCAAGAGCAGCGGCTGGGGGCAGCCAGCGGCAGTCGCAGCAGTGGCTACCGGCGCCGCCAGTGAGCGCGGACGGTACCGAGGGGACCCCGGCCGGCCGGCCCGGCACCTCGCTCGGGCCCGCCGCAGTGGGCGGGGGATGGGCGGGCGGCGGCCGCTCCTGCCGAGGGTGGCCGGCCGCCCGCGCCGGTTCTGAGCCGGACCCCAGCCCTCCGCCCGAGAGCCCGCGTCGGCCCTAGCCCAGGTAGGACACACCCCCGAGTCCGGGCCCCGAACCGGCCTGCGCCCCTGCCGTGAGCCCCCGGGAGGGCGGGTGCCAGCCCGAGTCGCCGTCCGCATCCCATCCGGCAGGCCTTCCCTCCCCTCCGCGCCGACACCTCCGGGCTGCCTGCTCCGAACTGCACTGTCGCCCGGTGGTGACCCACATAACACCGCACTCCTCCCTCCTACCAGCGCCGAAGGCAGGGCCACCTTAGGGATCCGAGCGTGTTCCCCGCCGCTGGCGCTGGCGTGTAGGGGCTCGGGACGGCTCCGCTGATTGCTGGGTCGTGAGGGGAACCAGCAGGACTTTGGTACGGCGTGGGGGACTCGGGTAGCGAGCTGAGGGTTGGCTCGTTATCATGTCGACAAAGAGGACGATGTTGGCCCTCTGGGATGCCGAGGAAGGGACAAAAGGCTCTATACCTGTGTACTGTCAAATCTGAGAAGTAAATAATCCTCTGAGATGCCACAGTATTTGCTTTTACAAACAGTTAAGTTAGTTTTGTTTCATTTGTGGTCGTCTTAAAGGTAAAAATGACATTGAGTTGTACTTTGCTTTGAATTAAACTTGATAGGTGGCAGCACCCTGGTACTAAAGCTTCTCTAACCTTAGGGACTTTTTTTTTTAACATTAAAGAAATAGAGTTTTATTATAGCCTGAGTATGATGTAAAGACGCTTCGATATTCACTAGAAGTAAGCTTTTTTTTGTGCGTAGGAGGGTCATGTTGTGAATGGACACATGGGGTGTGTACACACAGACAGAAGGAACCCACTGTTTTACAGTGTTTGTTTCTGAGCAGTTCATCACAGTTGCACTGGCTATAAGAGTTGTATGTAAACACGGATTTGCCAAGACAGACCAAGAGTGGCTGCTGTTTTCTTTAGGGTAAGAGTAATAACGTTCACTTATTTTATGGAGAATGACTTTGAAGTATTGAGGGAGTGGAGTGCTATCTGTTCATTTCTTCCTTTTTTTTTTCCTTTTTTATTTTGTGTTTGAGGCAGAGTCTCACTTGTATGTTCTGTCTAGCCTTGAACTCACTACATAGCCAGGGCTGTCCTCCTAACTTGTGACTGATCCTCTTGCCCTAGCCTCCCAAATTTAGAGACCTGATCCACCAGGTCCGGCCTATCCTCTCTTTTTTAAAAATAAAGAAGCAATAATGGTGAGGTATATAACCTAGTGTGACTAATCTTGAAGAATTTCTCTCAACTAAAATATTTCAGATAATGTTCAGATAATAAGTGTGTGGGTTTGAATGGTGTATTGTGATCTATTCAAATTAGAATTATATTGAAAGAAATCTTTAATTTAGAAGGTTATGTTTTTTGTATGGTATACTTCTATCAAGTCACCAAAAGGGATGTGTGAAGCATGATTGGAAAGCAAAAATTTTTTAACCTTTTTCCTTCATAATAGAATGTTTTCTTTCTTTCTTTTTTTTTTTTTTTCTTTTTATCGGTATTGGGGATCAAACTCATGACCGCCTGCTTGCAAGGCAGGTACTTATGCCGCTGAGCTAAATCCCTAGCTCCCATAATAGAATGTTAAGAAATGTTTTTTAAAACCAGGTGTGGTGGCACTTGCCTGTAATCCCAGCACTTGGGAGGCTGAGGCAGGAAGATCGTCGTGAGTTTGAGGCCAGCCTGGGCTAAAAAATGAGTTTAGGGCAGGCCTCAGCTGTGTAGCGAGACCCTGTCTCAGAAAGACAAAAAAATTTTTTTTTCTCTGACAATTTTGGACACATAAAGGAAATTGGATTCTAGGCTGGGTGTAGTAGCACATACCTGTTAACTCTGGCACTTGAGAGGCTGAGGCAGGAGGATTGTCATTAGTTTGAGGCCAGCCTGGTCTTCATAGCAAGACCGTGTCTCAAATGAAACAAAGAATTAGCTTCTTTAATTTATAATATGAAATTGAAAGAAATTTGATCATGGGTAGGGAGTTAAGAATAGTGTATCTTGCTGATTATGTCTTGTACAGTGGTTTATACATAATTTAATGAATTCTGTATTGTATTATATATGACTTTAGATTTTTATGTCTTTTGATTTTCTTTTAAGTACTGATTATTTTAATACTCAAGAAAGCTTCGTGAGGTTAGAGCTCATTTACTTTAGCAAATTGAACCCTATTACTGTATATAGTGGGAGCTTGATTGACTAGCAAAATGTAATAGCCTTTGAGAATTAATGGAAAATATAGCTTACTTTCTTCCCCACTTTATGTTTTATTTACTTATTTTTTGGTTTTTTGGTACCAGGGATCAAACTCAACCTCACGCTTGCCAGGCAGGCACTTATGCCACTAAGATAAATCCCCAGCTATTTTTTTGGTTTTTTGAAATGGAGACTCACTATGTAGTTGAGTCTGGTCTGGACCTAACTATGTAGCCCAGCCCAAGCTGTTGTTGAACTTCCTGCCTCAGCATCCTGAGTGCTGAGATTACAAATAAGAAGCCATGCCTGGTTTCTTCCCCACTTTAAAAACAAAATAGCTCCTATAGGAGAGATTTTTTTATACATCTGTGACAAACAGCTGTTTCAATATGAGGGCATGTTAATCTAGTCATATTTTTTGCTCTTTTTGAGGTTTTTGAAAACATTCAAAATATAACTGGGGCAATTTCTGTTTATTTGGTAATATGCCAGGATATAAGTATTTGTAGATCTTTTTTTCAAATTAAACACATTTTATGGTATTTTACTTTGTTTTGTTTGTTGTTAGCCAGCATATGGTAAACAATAGTGATGTTGGGGAGTTTTTTTCTAGGCTTTAGTAGACAAAACATTTTGCTATTAAGATTTAATCTACCTATGTTGTAAGAATCATCCTTCTTTTTATTTGTATTGATACATGGTTACGGTATATAATGATCATATTCCTCATGGGGTGCAGTGATTATCCTGCCTAAGACTCTTGAGTGCCGGGATTATGGGTATGTGCCACCGTGCCTGGCCTTTATTTTTTATTTCTTTGAGGGTAGGTCTCAATGTAGAATTCAGGTTGGCCTTGAACTTACTGTGCAGCCCAGGCTGATCTCAGGTACATGGGGGGATCCTCATGCCTCAACCTCCTGAATACTAGCATAACAAGTGTGCCTTACTACACTTGTTGGTTTAAATTTTTTTAAGAGGTCATTTAGAAGTGAATTATATTTTACATGGTTAACTAGGTTAGGATTTCATTTTTTCAAGAATTCTATAGTACTTAAAAAAGTGAACATGTTCAAGACAAAAAAATCAACTCTCTCATTTTTTTTCTTTTTTGTTTTTCTGGTATTAGGAATCGAACTCAGGACCTTGCACTTGCCCGGCAGTCACTGTGCTGCTGAGCTATATCCCTGGCCTCTCAACTCTCTTTTAAACTTCTCTAATTCCATAAATAAAAGTATCACCACTCAGTTACCTACTTTAAAAAAAGAATTAATTTTGGAGGGGGCATGGAGAGGGCTACTTATTTTTCCTGGTTCTACCAGTACAAAATTTATTCTAATGGAAACGAGGCTTTTGTAAATAGGGAGGGAATGAAGGATTGAAGGGAGGGGGAAGGAATGGGAAAAAAGAATTAAGATATATTATGTATTAGTACAAATGTGGCAAACATTCATGAATGTATGGCAAACATGTAATGATAAAAATTTTTTTAATTACAAAAAGAATTTATTCCATTCATTCTATTGTCACTGCCCTAAGTTAACTTGAGCCTTTGAAGAATGAACTTTTTTTTTTTTTTTTTTTGTATTACCGGTACCAGGGATCGAACTCATGACCACACACTGGCAAGGCAGGCGCTTACGCCGCTGAGCTAAATCACCAGCCCCGAAGAATGAACTATTGCAGCAGCTGCATCTATTCAAACATTAAATAATTATGAAGTATCTACTATGTTACTGGGATTCTGCAGTAAGCAAGAGGGAGATAATCTTTTCACTTGGGTAGTTTATACCATACTGAGGCAGATATGGTCAGCAAGGCCTTTTCAGTATAGACATGAACATCGATCATGTGGCAGACAGACCTATATCAGGAGGCAGCCTCAGAAGAACTTTGAGCTGGAGTTTACTCTGTGTACTCCACCAGCTTCAGAGATTAGTGGATATATTACAGCTGCCGTGTAATGAGTTAATTAAAAATAGAAAGTTTTAAGTGAAAAAAGTTAATAAGAATCAAATGCTTACAGCTTTAGAAAAATGTTTTCAAGAACAACAGAACTGGTTGAGAAGTTTTAGCTAGAGTTCACTTTCAACTGGGCATTATAGAGCACATCAGTAATCCTAGCAGGGTGGGAGGCTGAGGTGAGAGGATTGCAAATTTGAGTCCAACCCGGGAAATTTAGCAATTTAGTGAGACCGTGTCTCAAAATAAAAAGGCTGGGAGCCAAATGTTTTGGCACATCCCTGTAATCCCAGCGCCCAGGAGGCTGAGGCAGAGCGATCATGGTGAGTTCGTGGCCGGCCTGAACTAATTTAGTGAGACTGTCTCAAATCAAAACAAAATAAAGCAAAACAAAAAACAACAAAGGTGGAGGATGTAGGATATAGCTCAGTGGGAAGGCCCTAGGTCAGTCTCTTCGAAGAAAAACAAACAAACTCCATGCTTTCTCCAGTCTGAGTTTCTATTTTGAGTTCTCCCAGGCCTCAAAAGAGGAATGCATATTATTATAGCCAGAGGTGTTTCAGGTAACTGGCTACAGTATCTCTGTCAGTGGGATTCAGCAGCATATGAATTCTTATTAAATGAACAAGTAATGAGGATATACTTTGAATATCTACAAATTTAAAAACATTCATAAATAAACAAAAAAAAGTACTGGCATCTAATTTTTGTCTAGAAAATGTTCGTGTTGGGGCTGGGGATTTAGTTCAGTGGCATAAGCACCTGCCTTGCAAGCAGGCGGTCCTGAGTTTGATCCCCAGTACCGATTAAAAAAAAAAAAATGTTAGTGTAGCCAGTACTCCTTAAATTAATAAATGTTGTA